TTTGGGGGAAGTATTTTTGCTTTTAGTTTTTAAGTGCAGCTCGAATTTTCAACCTACATGTTAGTACATATCTATTTTTGACGCTATAGTATTTTGCGTACTTATTTTTTACCTTACGTCAATATATGTTTTCGATTTTATATTTTTATAAAGTACGTTTTCTATTTTTACACTGATGGGGAAGAAAGTAAGAGCTTGGAGACATGATAGAGGATTTTGCAACCCGCTCGCGACGGTGTGGCATATTCTCTTTGATGCACCCACTCTGACTTGATTTCTCATTATACATATATTCTTCTTCCTATTTTCGAGTATTTCAGTTTAGTAAGTGATTTTAAATTCCGGGGACGAAATTCTTATAAGGGGGTAGATTGTAACATCCACCCCCATTTAAAAAAATATAATTATGTAATTACCCCAAAATATTATGAATCTATCATTTTGGTCCTATTTTGACTACCCAATTAGGATCTAAATAATTGGATTTCTTTTCTTCCTTAAGCTGCCACGTGGCAGTACCCCATCACTTCTCTCATTTCTCTATTTGTCCCCCCCCGGTGAACCCTATCTTCTTCTTATTCTTTCCGTATTTCCTTTCTCTCCTTCTCGAATCTCTCATTTCTTTCCCTCTCTTCATCTAGATCGCACGCACGTACGCAGAAGCACTCGTGCTCGAGGAAGATCATCGTCATCATCTCTTCGTCCTTCTCTCTCCCTCTTTCCCGCGCTGCGAGGACAAACCCAGAAACTCGAAAATGAACTCCGGCGAGTTTTTCTATTTCCCCGATTAGGTAAGCCTCAAATCCTTTCTTTTTCGTTCTAGAATCTTGCGGGAATGAGTTTTAATTGAGTTTATTGCGTGATTTTGGAGGTTTTAGGATGAAATCGAACTCGGGTGTTGACACACCCATCTCCGGCGAGCTCGAGAGTGTCAAGGGACTATCCGGCCGTTCTACGGCAAAAGGAAGATATAAAAACACTCCCCCCATCTTGTACTTCGTTTTGGTACCTAGATCGGAGTCTAGGGTTGTGGTTTGTGGTCGGCCGAAGCTGTAGAAGCTTTGGCGTTCTCCTCCGGTGCGCCAGGCCTTTCAGGCAGGTTCCAAGGCACTCGGGCCTTAGGCCTGTAGTGAGCCAAGCCCAAAATAACCCAGTCTCTTTTAATTGTTTTAATTAAATTGTTTTAAAACCCAAAGGCCTTCAGGCCGTTTCCTTAGGGCCCTTGGCCCATTGACTAAACCTTAAACCCTTTATGATGAGGCCCTTGGGCTATGTAGGTCTGGGCCTGAGCCCAGAGAGCTCCTAACCCTTTTCCCTTTTTAATCAGCCCACCTATTAACCCTTTAGACCCAAAACCCTTAAGGCCCTTTTGGCCCAACCCAATCCAAGCCCAGTCTAACCCTTTGACCAGTTGACTTTGACTGTTGACTCGGTCAACGGTCAACGTTGACTTTTTGAGTTGACTTTTCGGGGTTTCGTCCGGGACCTCTCCTAGGCTAATTTCGACGTCCTGGACCCGTTTTTTGAAGTTTGTTTTCCCAAATTCAATCGTTTGACTAAAGGTACCCCTTTATGTGAATATGTGCAATTATTAACGATGATTCCGTTATTCCTTCTTGGTACAGCTTTGCACCATCGATGTACAGTGAGTGGACCCCTTCTAAAATGCATGTTTTAATAGTAGAAATGCATACATGAAAGGCATGATTTAATGATTATGTTTTATGAAATGCTTTGAGATAACATGCTTATTGAGGCTAGTTTGAATTATTACTATTTTTCCTATAACCCATGTTCTTATAGAATATCCGATGGATGACGATATGATATTTAGAACATGTTTCGAACATTTCTTTATAGTATAGATGATGGATGACTTTATACTATGAAGTTGCTTTTCAATATATATATATATGTTCAATGGTTTTGTACTTACCTAGTGGTCATTTCCGCTACGAGACTTAGGGATAGATTCCGGTCCGTCCCGGGCAACAGTTTGGTGTTGGCATAGGGCCTGGATTGTGTTTCCTCTGGCTATTTAGCACAAGGACGAGGAGCCAGCATGGGGCCTGAAGTGTATTTTCCTCTGACTGTCTGCTCAGAGACGGGGAGCCAGCATGGGGCCTGGGGGTTATCAGACAATTCACTAGTGATTATTATATATATGAGTTATGATTTGAGATATTGCACGACATGCTAGGTTTCGGAAAACCTATTTTGATCATGATATATGTGTTTTCATAAAACCTAAGGGTTAGTACGTTGATAACTGTTTTACTATATATATATATCAACTTGGTTCACTCATGTTTGTTTTGCGCCCCCTTCAGGACTTAGAATCGAGGCATACAATCCCGGCATCCAGACACTTCCGCATCGGCATCTTCGAGTCCTCTTGGTGTATGACCCATTCTTTTATTCATTCAATTTTATATTATTTCTTTAGGTGTTCTAGTTAGTTGTATGCTCTGAACACGTTCCTGAAATGCATATTCATTAGTCTTTTATATTTATAAGTCTTATTTACTCCTCATTCTCAGCATTTGCATTCAATAAATGGCTTTCGTCACCCTTGGGTGTTGGCCAGCACGTGCCTATCCTGGTATTTGGGGAATATCGGGATCGGGGTGTGTCAATTGTCGTACAAGTAAAGTCATAAAGAGATTTGATCTCCCAAATGTTATTAGATTCAATTTCCAAATTACACAATTACATTCTTAAACAACAATATTTTCTATTTTCTATTTTTTTAAATAAAAATTGACTATTATTAGGGAAGGAGAAAGTTCGAAACTATTAAAAATACGGTCTAGCACACAAACTGTCATAATACAATTAAGTGAATTTTTTCTTCAAATTTCCAACGAATTGTATTGTTATACTTAATGTACCAAACCTTGTTTTTGACGCACTAAAAATTTTCCCCATAAAGGGGACCCTCATAAGAGCATTGGAATATTCGTGATGCCAAATCCATTGTGCTTCATTTCTCTCTCTGGTTTGCTTCTCTTATCTATTTCTTTGAAATTCAGTGCTAATATACCATGAATTGATTGTAATTTAGTTTTTGTTGGAACCCTTTCGAGCATTATCCTTAAAATCATGTGATGAATTTCTGTTTTTGTAGGCGGACTGGTTATCTTCCAAGAGTTTTGATGCTTGCACCTGCTCGGGAGTTGGCAAAGCAAGTCGAAAAGGAGATGGAAGAATCTGCACCTTATCTTAACATAGCTGGAATCGGAGAGGATTTCGGCGACATCTTGGACGGCCTGGTGGGGGAGGGCGGATGAGAAAGAGAGGATTCGAAGCAATTTTTGCTTTCGGTAGACCAAACAATAATCCAATTCACTCAACACACTAAAGGGAGAAAAACCCTAACTTCCCCGTAAAATTATCAGGAATTTCGTCAGGATCAGCTACTAGCTTCTCCAATTTTTCGGATTTTTCTCAGAAATCAAACAGAGATCAAATTCAGTGAAATTGCGTGTGCGTGAGTGAGAGAGAGGGAGGGACCTGGAGGCCGGCTTCAATGTCCAATTCGGCGGAGAATTGAGTGAAACTTCACCTGAACCTTCTCTCACCTACTGCTCAGCTCCTTGGCGTTTTACCGCAATGACGTCGTTTTCGGGATTAACACAGAATTTTGAAATCAAGGGAGACGCTAAGTTCTTGGAGCAGGAAGAAGAATTTCAGGAGTGGAGCAGCAGCGGTGGTGCTGATTGCCAAACTTTTTTAAAATTTTAATTGTCCACGTGCACTCACAGTGCCACTGTGCCAAGTGGATGCACAGTCAACATGAAGAAGAATTTGGTTGTGACCAGAACACGGGGTACACTACGTGTTTTTATATAAATTGTGGGAAAATTTATTTTTTATGTTATTACTTTTTTAACACATATTTCACCATTTATATACTAACACGTGGTGTATCATCCCCGTGTACCGGTCACACAGAAAATTTTCTTGTGGTGTTGATTGCCAATTTTTTTTTAATTTTTAATTGTCCACGTGCACTCATAGTGTCACTGTGCCAAGTAGATGCACAACCAATGAGCCACGTCATTAGTTAACTAAGTTCCTCACAGAAAGACTAACGTAAGTACTAAAACATTAAAAAAATTCCAATTTTTGGCATGAAAGCGGGTGAAAAAAATCATTTAAATATGAAAGTTAGGATTTTACAATGTTTAAAGGTGGGAAAGTGAAAAACTTTTCTTAGAGCTTTAAAAATATAGAACACATGACATTTTTTTTTTTTTGTTAGGCTTCCCTTACCTAAGTATTATCCACCCTTGAGTAAGTGCTATTTAATTTACAAAGTAACCATTTATTTATTTATATGATTTGAACCTTATCGGTGTTGTCCAGGACTTGCCCAACTTGAAATATATCGAAATTCAAGAGTACCCAAGTCTTCCAAATCTTGTAGTGTTGGTTCTTCGGTATTGCAAGAATTTAGTGAGATACAGTTGTGTGTTGTAGTCCCTTGTCCTTTTTGGAAAGTTTGGATCTTAGTGGAAATAATTTCGTCAGTCTACCTGAAAGCATTAGACACCTTTCTAAGCTTTGTTCTCTTTATCTGCGGAGGTGCAAAAGCCTTCAAAAATTGCCACCTCTTCCATCACATAGCGAATTGTGTTGTAAATATTATGTGGATGGTCCACATGAATAGTTTGTTACTATTTATGCACAGTATTTTCACTATTCATTTGTGGAAAATTTGTAAAGTGAATAGTGCTTTCTTTTGTTTATATAAAGGAAGAATAGATAGATGTGAAGAGTTCACGGGAAAGAAAGAGAGGAAGGAAGGAAGAGGAAGAGAGAGAATAGAGGAAGATGAGAGGAGATAATAGAGAGAGTTATCTTTGTACTCCTATTATTTCAAATTATAATGAAAGCGCCGCTGCTGCCCCGAGGACGTACTCCAGTCACACTGACTGTAGAGGAACCTCGTAAATTTTGTGTCTTGTTTCATTTATTCCACTGCACCCAGTCGATTTTTACAACACGTTATCAGCACGAGAAGCTCTCATGTCAGTGGAAAGCACAACGCCACAAATCCTGTTCACCTCCTTCAGCTGGAATCTCACAGATAAGAAACAATTTTCATTTCATCTTCAAATCTCAGTACGATTGATTTACTTGAAGCAACTATATATATTGTTGTATGACTGTATATCATCATTTGCAGAAGCAAAAGAGTACATACTCAAAATTCGTAAAGAATTTGACAGCCATGTAAATAGCCTCGGAACTCTAACTTGCGGACCTCGGATTGAAATACTTTCTTCTTGAAAGTTGTTCGTCTGCTCAGTATCTACAACATATCAAAATTTCAGAAAATGTTAACGGTGCGATCGTGGCAGATGTCTGAAATACCAAACCAGTTTCCAATTTCCGCAGAAAACTGGGCAGCCACCTTATGAGTACCAAAACGCCATTTCGATAGCTCAAATCGAAATTGTTTCTTCACGAAAGTTGTTTGGTATCCTCTTTATCCATATCATACTAAATTTTGAATTAAAACTAACGGTTAGATCTTCTCATAAGTTGCAGACACTCTTGACTCCAAAACTTATGGGAACCGTTTCGACTTTTTCGAAACTCACCGGAGGAGGAACACCAATTAGAACTTATTGTTACTATTATTTACTGAGTAACCAAAATGACTTCGAACTGTGAAATAATAATAATAAAATAAAGGGATGAAACAAAAGAAGTGGCAGACCAAGAAAATGAAAAAGCAAAACATGAGGACTTAATCATTGTATTTTCTGTTTTGGCATATTTATGTGCATGGTGTTGGTTTAAAGCCCATGTCACAAGTTCTATTTTATTTAAAGCAATTTATTTATAGTGGGTAGAATTATTACCCTTTGCTTTAAAGCTTTGATATTTATGTGAATGTTGCTGAATCAAAGCCCTTGTCACAAGCTTTATTTACTTTAAAGCAATTTATTTACCATGGACGGTTTTACCGCCTATTGCTTTAAGTTTTGATGGTGCTGAATTAAAGCCCTTGTCACAACACAAACTTTATTTACTTAAATGCAATTTTATTCATTATGGCTGGAATTACCGTCTATTGCTTTAATTTATTTATTGTACTTATCTTTTGTTACTATGAGTATATACAGGACCTGAAGTTCCTTGATCAGATCAGAACCTGCAGTTTCTTGATCCTCATCATATAAAATGATTGGACCCGAAGTTCCATCATACAAAAGGATCTGGCATGAAGTCCATTGATCCTGAAGATCAGGACATGATGTTCCTAGATGAGTACCATTAGTTTGAAGTGCCGCAGTGCCTTAACTTAATTGTAATAAAAGCCATAAGAGTCTCAGTTTACAGACTATTAAATAAGGACCAGAAGTTCCTTATGTCCATACTCAAAATGGTTTAGCAGAAGCCTTTATTAAGCGAATGAAATTGATTTCCCGCGCTCTGCTCATGAAAACGAAATTGCTAATTTTCTACATGGGGACATGTAAACTTTACATGATGCATTATTAATTCGGTTGAGATATGTTATCAACCATCAATACTTCTCAGTACAACTCGGGTTTGGGAACCAACTAAACATTATACATTTACGAGTTTTTTGTTGTGTTGTCTATGTGCCTGTAAGACTACCACAACGTACTGAAATGAGGCATCATTGCAGATTAGGCATTGATGTTGAATACCATCTATCATTCAATATTTGGAATTCTTGATTGGGGATATGTTTACCGCATGGTTGCATACTGTCATTTTGATAAGACAATTTTCCTGCCATTAGGGGGAGAAAATAATATCGTTCCAGAAGAACGATGAGAAAATATCATTCCAAAAGAATGATGAGAAAAGACCGTTCCAGAAGAACGAAGAGAATTTGTCTTATTTTGATTCACGAAGCAATCAATGAGAAAATGAAATATGAATAATTGAATGATGCAACGAAAGTGATGAAATCATATATACTTACTGCAAATGTGCCTACAAGAATTGATGTCTCAGTTGGATAAAATAATGAGACAGTAAATGATTTATCTGTTGCACGCCTGAAGCATGGCAGATTTTTAGACTCAAAAGGTTCAGTTATTCGAAAGAAGAATAATATGGCACTACTGAACTATTGCATTCCCGAAGCATAACTGTTGCATGCCAGAAGCATGACAGTCACCGCATGGATACACGTCCCAGATAGGACAATCCACAGACATGGGAATGTTGATGTCTCATACATGAAGCATAATAGACATATAGGTTCCAATGACTCAACTCCCGGAAGTGGAGATTAAAATCCAAGCTCTATAACACTCAAGAGGAGGTTATGATCCACATTCTCTCAATTATGACTATCCTGGAAGAGATAGCGTCATGCCCTTGAAGAGGCAATGGATATCCAAAGAAATGAAAAGCTTTTATGCATGCGCATGCACATGAGAATATTGGATCACGGATTGATGATAACCAATGGTAATTTTGGTTTTTACAAGTAGCTACTAAATTCATCAATGAGCTGTGTTAATATTGAGTCACGTTCTTTTGTTCGTCGACAAAAGAAAAATTATTGGCCAAAATGGAGAAAGGCAATTCCATTACAAATTTTGTAAGAACGTGGGCAAATGAACCTATATATATTTGAATACAATACAAATAGCCAAAGAATGTTAAACCAAGGAGGTTATATATGGGCATTTGTAATATAGTGTAATACACTTACATGATATGACACAAGGTTGTAAACGAGTTCATATGAATGGAGAATTATATACGAAGGGTTGTGAGTCGCCCACATTATATTTCCATAAGTAAATCCCTCAAGTATACATGGGAGCAAATTGCTCTGTATAAATTCCAAAGGAAAATGTGTCATGAAGTGTAGAAAACCCTTGAAGGATTCAAATTGCTTGAAGTAAGCCTCTGAAGGGTAAAACATAAAAATATGTACTCAATACCAATGGATGATATAAATTGCCTTAGTGAGTACTATCATTATGATATTGTTGCAACATACTAAAATCTCTTGCAAGAGTCAATGACATTAAATTAGAACTCTTGAAGAGTTGATGATATTAAATTGGGACTCCTGAAGAGTCTAGAAAAATTATAAAGTGTTGAAGGAATTATTGTCTCGAGCTGCAGATCGAACAATCTACCAACACGAATCTTATCCATGATATTTATGATATTAAAAGAATCATATGGATTGAAGATTATGAGTTGAATACTCATATGATGAAGACACTAAGAATAATCATTTATCTTCGTGAGGGTAAAGATAAATTAATATTTGGTCCAGAAGTACCACATCTTAGTGAAGTATATGCTTTATTGTATTTGGCACAATACATTGAATGAAATAAAGCTTATTTATTAATATCTCCAAGAAATTACAGATATATACATACACATGAGTTAAAAACAAACAAACAGGATGGAGCCTTCACAAAGGTTGCTCATGTGAAGCCTCAGTACTCGGAAGTACCCCAGAAGGGGGAGGCACTGGAGATTGATCATGTGGCACCCCAGTACTTAGCAAAACACCAGAAGGGGAAGGCATCAGTTGCTTTCGGAATCTAGCAACGAACCTCTGGTGATCACTTTGAATCCGACTTTCGGATTCCTGCAGTTGGACGAGCTTTCTTTTCATGCTCGTAGAGTAACTATTTGCAAGCACGTGTAACACCCTATTCTCGTGCTTGAGCCCTCTGATCTCTTGTTTAAGACTTGCCACTTCCGCCATCAATGATTCAACTTGGCGAGTTTGAGCAAGTAGGCGTTGGCCCATATTGGACACAGAGCCAGCACACTGAACACTGAGAGCCAATGAGTCTTGAACGGCCGACTCTTCAGACCGTTCTGAAAGGATCTTGTTATCCCTTGGAGTGAGAAGATTCCTAGCTACCACAGTAGCGGTTATGTTATTCTTCATCATAGAGTCCCCAACCGTAAGAGGACCATTAGAAGATAAGAAGGACGGGCGCCATATATTATCCTGACGCTGCTCGTCTGTATCACTCCTAAGACTCAAATCTAAGCAAATGTTAGATGGGCAAGTCATTTTTCAGAAATGATGAAGGAAAAACAGAGGTCAAATAAAATTTCAAAGGTGCAAGATAGGGGAAATTTCTACAAGCAACAACTTTCTGAGCATACTCTTGAACACAATTGATGTCTCTATAAAAGAAGAGGCAGCAGAGCCACTTGTTCAAAGATCGATGAGACACCGCTCTCCGAATTTCAAAAGCCAGATTTTCCTGAATAAAATTCGTTGGCATTTTTCAGACGTAATCTCAGCTTTTCAGATATCGCGTGCAACTTTGTCAAAGATCTCTGACAAAGTTGAAAACGCGTAAATCTTACTGTTCTATTTACACCACAGTTGCTGACAAGAGTAAAAGCACAGCACCACCACTTGCTATTGAGAAATCTCTATATATGTCGACATCTGTTCTCCATAACAAGGCAGACTCGCAACACTGCAAGAATACCTAACTCTTCCTCATCTCCGAGAATGCATCTTCAACATAGCATCTCGAAATACTCAGTTTTCTTCCTCTCCGAGAATACATCTTCAAACATGTCACACCAGAGCAAGATTATCATATATCTTCAGGGACCAGAGCAAGATTATCTCATATCATGCAATCTCCCTGTCCTTTCCTTTGTCCATGTTCTTGCCTGCAAAGACAAGGATAAGGAAAGCAATATGTCGGAACCTCCACTCAAACTCCCGGTAAGGAACCGATTGCCTGGAACTTTTCCTGATTGCTTACCTAGTATTGCTCTCGAGTAGTCATCTTCAACGGTTGGAGTTGGGTCTCCAGTCACCAAGAAGTGATGAACCATCCAAATGCAAGGGTTTGCATTCCACTTCTGCACCAGGGGACAAATCCTACAAGAGAAAATGCCACATATGCATGGGGGGGGAAAGCAGTGAAAATACTACTTAAGCAAGGGGAGCAAGTAAGGAAAGTGAAAATGATACATTGGAGCATGTGGAGACAAGCGCAACCAACACGTGCTGATTCATCCCCGACAAAGTCGAAGAAGCTCTTCACGGTACAATTTCATTCAAGATCAAGCCCCGAAGTCCTTGAAGAAATCACAAGTCCGATTCAAGATCAAGTGTCCACCACTTTTGAATCAAATTCCGCTCCAGATAAAAGGAGTAAATTCCGATCTTCGATGCTAGTCTAGCAGAAAGTCCTACAACCCAGTTCAAGAAAAAGGCTGTGGAAAGTTAACAATAAGTAAAGCAACTCTTTTAGCTACTCTTCTTACTAAGAGACTAAAGCAGAACAATCAACGATCAACCTAAATGATTTGAAATCAGGGGGAGATACTCATCAGGGGGAGCATCCAAGACAGATCAAGATTTTAACGAGTCAATCGAAGACTTGTGGCCATCCAAGGGGGAGTGTTGTAAATATTATGTGGATGGTCCACATGAATAGTTTGTTACTATTTATGCACAGTATTTTCACTATTCATTTGTGGAAAATTTGTAAAGTGAATAGTGCTTTCTTTTGTTTATATAAAGGAAGAATAGATAGATGTGAAGAGTTCACGGGAAAGAAAGAGAGGAAGGAAGGAAGAGGAAGAGAGAGAATAGAGGAAGATGAGAGGAGATAATAGAGAGAGTTATCTTTGTACTCCTATTATTTCAAATTATAATGAAAGCGCCGCTGCTGCCCCGAGGACGTACTCCAGTCACACTGACTGTAGAGGAACCTCGTAAATTTTGTGTCTTGTTTCATTTATTCCACTGCACCCACAGTCGATTTTACAACAATTGTATGTATATGTGGAGGATTGTACTTCCTTACCAAGTTTGTCAGATCCATCCAAGTTGAGCCGCAGATTCACCATTTTGTATGATTTTGGGTTCACTTGCAAGAATTGAATTGCATTGGTTCCAGATGAAGGCTGGATTAACACAAAACTCTCAAGGATTCTAAGATTTTCCACTCGGTAATCTCTCTCTCTCTCTCAAAATAATTGATCTTTCTTCTGCTGTAGGACTACTCACTTTAAGATGGGATTTGTAATCCCTGGAAGTGAAATTCCCGAGTGGTTCAATAATCAAAAGTGTGGGACATTCAGTAAATGTGGAGCTTCCTCCACCATCATGTACCAACTGGCTGGGGATTGCCTTTTTGTCTTGTTTTTCAAGATCCTATGCAAACTTGGCCAATCCAATTGCCCTTCCTCATGATCATCATTTCCGTATTCAACTTATAGGGGATTTCCTTTTGCATTGGCATTGTGAAATAAGGTCTCTTGTGTCAGAACACCTTCGGGTATTTTATTCGAAAGTTACTTTGATGTGGGAGAAGTAAAAGCAGACTTGAACAAGGCCGAAGAAGTGTTGGGCTCGTTTGGTGTACAAGCAAGATTTGGAATAACTCAGCCAAACACTAAAAATCCTGAATGAACACATGAATATCGTGATGAGGCAGCTCCAAGTAGACCTAGAAGTGCTAGTTTCAACGACACAGAACAATTCTACAAAAGGCATTATTACTAGTCACCATCTTATAATAAATGCAGGTAAGTCGCCATCGATTTATCCCATCAACTTCAATGTCTTTCAAAATATTTATTTTTTATGCTTCGCCATCTTAGTCAATGGACTCAATCTCACAAGCTATATATATTAAGATGGTTATATTTATTGAAAGGCGAGGGGATACGAGTGTTGGTGTATAAACTCTTTTGCAGATTACTTGGGCATTAAGAAGATTGATTTGGTATTTGATATTAAACTTGTAGTATGGACCATTGGATCATAGTCTACGTGAACTCTCAGTTTCATAGTTGTCTTATTTGGATGTGTCATAGCTTATATAATGTGTAAGCATCTCATAAGATGACTTATTTGGATGGTTAGGAATATATCTTGCTGACCGGTCCCAAATCAACCATCATTGTGTGAAAGGAGAAATATAATTTCATCTGAAATTCTGTGTGCAATTCTCAGCCCTTCCCAGAAAATCCAAAAGCCAAAAATCCAATTCCAAATTCTTCCTCATTACCAAATCTAAAATATTATACATAAATCTAACACTAACAAAGAAAAATCTTCTCAATTTCTCACTGCATTAGTTTTTCATTTCAGTACACTGTAAAGTCAGTTGGATCATAAACTTGGAAAGAATTGGCAAAGGCGGACTTGAAGTACAACAAATACTATCCGAGCGCCGTGGAGTTGGCCTCTATGTTTCTTCCTGGTACAAGAATGAACCACAAGTTACTGAACACCAACGTGATTTATCTATGCTTAATGTCAGTGCTAATCTTCCCCACCCACTGGGAAAATTGTTTCTTGTTATCGTTGTTGTTGAGGTTCATTTTCTGAAAACACCATAAACGTTAACATCAGGGAGTTGAATTCAACTTTTTATAGAAAGGAAGAATTGTCTTATTCAGCTTCATGGAAACTGGACATGCCAATCCTATCTAGCTGCTGTACCAAATCGTGATTAAACAGACAAAATGCTTGAGACAATGCCAATCGTGATTAAACAGACAAGGAAAAGTTCTGTTAAACAAACTGAGCATTTCATTTCCAAACGACATCAAACAACGCAAGATTCCAAAACAACAAACCTAATTTCTCTGTTACAAACTGCACTGAAATCCTACTAATTGTGAGGTTACTTGATCTATTATGAGCTACTAATCCTTGCCAAAGTGGCTCTTATGGCAGTGAAATCTCTCTTCTTCACAAACACAAAACAAATGACACAAACAAATGCGAGTATGGAGACAACAAATGCAGCTAAACCTCCCAACCCAAGAGGCATCTCCACTTTGCTTTCATGGGAATGATTTTCCGGGCTGCTTGCTTTCATGGGAATGATTTTCCGGGCTGCTTTTGGTACTTGAATCCTCTGGTGGAGAGCACATGAAGCAGTCCCCTTTTTCAAAGGCATCCGCAGGAATCCCAGGTGGAAGAGACCTGAAAGTCTTGAATCTCCAATTGGTGACCCTGTGAATTGAAGCACCCTGTCCATTTGCGGCAGAGAAACCGACACGCATGAACTCCTTGAACTCGTTGGAGAGGTCAATCTGAGCAACAAGAAGAGGCGTTGGAGGCCTAGTTGACGAGTATGCGACCCAAACCCGAATCATCTTGACAGCATCTCTGTACTCAATCCAAGCAGTAATCTCCCTCCCACTTGTCAAATCAATCCCTCTAGAAACAACTCCAACAGTGGCAACAGACACAACTGTGTTCAAATCAATACCTATGTGGTTACCGTTTTTATCACCAACCATAGGATCAAACCTAGTATCGAATTCCACGGCGAAGAACGATTCTTTCGACACCGAGGATGGCTCCGGAAGTCCCATATACCCCCCTCTGTATGACCCCAGAGAATCAACATCGGGGGTGATCACAAACGCAATGCCATCTCCAGAAGAACACAATCGGGAACTTAGGGTGATTGAAAAAGAGAATCGGCACAAGAAAGAGGCAGTTATGTTGGTTTTCGAGTCAAGAAACCGAATTGGGTAGGCGTAAAATGCTCTTCCAACGCCAGAAGAAGCAGAAGGGGAGGAGGGGCATGTGGTGAGTTCTTGAGTGAGACTAATGGAGTTGTTGGTGATTGAAGCGTCGCCTAAGAGGGTGAGGTTATTGTTCGTCGCAGGCAAGAACGGGACAGAAAGCGAAGGGAAACTGAGGTTGGAGACGAAAAAGAAAAGGACCCAGAAGAGAAATGGACGAGATGAATGCATTGCTGTAAACCCAAATGCAGAAACTTTCTCGGGAAAATGAAAGGCGTAAACTTTCTCGGGAAAATTACAGAAATAGTGATAAAGTAGTACCAGTATTTTCTTACCCTCTGGGTTTCTGCGGATGAGTATTTTCTTACCCTCTGGGATTTTGCGGATGTTTCTGCCAATCTTGATACTTGAAAGCTTGAATGAGAGAGAGGGACAGGGAGACGGAGCGATTTGAGAGGGAAAATTGCCCCATTTGATTGATTGACGGAAACCCAATTTTAGGTCCCAAGTTAAGAGTTTGCTATGTCGTACAAGAACTGGGTTGTCGACATCCTCGTTTCCAATTATAGAAAGCCTCCGATCGAGTCTGAAGGTGGTTTGATTGTCGAAGGTCAAACGACCTATTTATATACCAAAATCATTGTTACAAGTCCTCTTTCTTCGCGTGAGCTACCTAAACTCAACCCTGTATATTCTTCCGTGAGCTACCTAAACCCTAATCAACCCTGCATAAATCGTTCTTTTTACAGCATGTTTACATGCCACGTGCGTGAGCTACCTAAACCCTCGTCAACCATATTCTTCCCGTGAACAGTAACTTTGGTTGATGCCACAACTTCGATCGTCAATCAAAATTGCCAATGTGTGAAACTCTGCTCACTAGGTTGGGCAGAGCAATGGCAAGCTAAAAACAAAACAAAAACAAGCAGAATAATTACATGTAGTGCAGGATGTAGAATGTCTTTTCCTCATTGCAAATCCCAAGCGACCCAAATCTGGATGGTAAAATACTTGGAGTTGGAATTAATAGGATAGACTGAAACACGGATTTTTTTTATTAGATTGGTATATCTGACTTAGTTAAGAAGTAGTTTAAGACACAATCATTAGGAAATTTCTGCAATTGAACGTAGTTGTTTTATACCCCTAAAAAATACTATAATAATTATATATATTAATTTAACAATTTTATACCCCTAAAAACTATAATAATTATATATATATATATATATATATATATATATATTTTTTTTTTAAAAAATTGGTGACCAATGGATTGGCTTAAATATACATATCATTCAATTTCTTAAGAGTTATACGTACAAATAAATAAATTTAAATATACTTAATAAATATATGGCTTTTTATTCAAAATGGTCCCTGAGATTTGCATAATCCATAATTTTGGTCCCTGAGATTTAAAATCAATAGAAGTAGTCTCTGAGATTGTCCACCATCCATGATTTTGGTCCTTCCGTTGAAGCTTTTGGCCGGAAGTTTGGGCAATTTTCAAAGCTTCATAACTCAATCGTTTCTCAACCAAATTTGACCCATAATATATCAAAATGAAGATAGGAAAGTGTAGAATAAGATTATATCTATTTGGAAGCCCAATAGTTGCCGGATATGGTCGGAAAATAGCCTCAAAGTTGACTGGTCCGAGAGAAATCTGGAAAACTCGCCGGAAATTGGGTAAACTTTAAACGTTCGTAACTTCTTCATTACTCAACGAAATCAAGTGATTTAAAAACAAACATCATACTTCTCGACAAGACGAAGATAATGGTACCTTTTTCAACAACTAAATTGTCGTGGTTTGGCCGGAAAACGGCTCGAAAGTTGCTGACTCGTTTTTCAACAGCCACTTTCGATCCATTTTCCGGCCAAAACACGGCGAGTTAGCCATTAAAAAAGGTACCATTATCTTCTTCTCGTCTATTGGTATGATTTTCGTTTTTGAATCACTTGATTTCGTTGAGTATTGAAGAAGTTATGAACGTTTAAAGTTTACCCAGTTTTCGGTGAGTTTCCGGCAAGTTTTTCAGTTTTCCCTCAGACCAGTCAACTTTGAGGCTATTTTCTGACCATCTCCGGAAATCATTGGGCTCCAAATAGATATAATCTTATTCTACACGTTCCTATCTTCCTAGCAATAATATGGTTCAAACTTGTCTGGGTGAGAATCGAACCTAAGATCTCTCACTTACAAGTGAAAAATAATATCAATATACCATAGTACTAAGTGACATATTAGTATGTGTTACTTAAGTGTTAACTAAATAATTTCCCATATTTATATAAATGTATGTATATTTCCTTTTTATATTTACTATTTTAGCTTTTGCATATTCAAATTTCCAGCACGTAGCGCTTGAAGCCCACTTCTCCTCTCATCAGCTTTCCTTATCTTCTTTGTGATCGAATTGATATAATAATAGAGCCATCCTAGTATTACTCCATGAACACCATGCATTTGTGGCAAAGAATCACAGGTTGTATTGTGTTGCAAGCTCAAAATTATTTTATTCTATCTTTTTCTTTATTTTAAACGTAATACGAAATTTTATTTTAAAAAAAAGATAAGTACATATAAATATTAATTTTTTTGAGTGATTTCAAATTAGTCTCAATTTTTTAAAACATTCCAAATAATTACCTAATGTTTTAAAAATTAGACATTGAGTCAGGGTCACATACGTTAAATGAGGACTCTACCGACATTAAATGATGATGTTTCTAGCATTAAATGATAAGGTGGAATAAAGTTGCTCTCTACTAATCGTTGTCTTTGAAGCCCTAATTCCTCAAATAGACTAATTTTAGCCAAGTTAAGTCACAAATTTGCTTCACTTAACTGCGTCAATTTGAAGATTGAAAACACCAAAAATGACTTGAGGGTAAAAAACCGCTTCAATAATTGTCCACAACATCACTTAACGCAAGTGAGCCTAACAAATGTCTATTTTTCAAAATGTTATATAAATATCTAGAATATTTTAAAAGGTTATAACCAATCTGAAATCACTCCTAAAGATTGGATGGTTATCTGGATTTTTAAATAAACTTGGTAAAGTTTTTAAAAGTGTTCTATCGCTATATTTGGTAGCCAACAACCATGATTTTACTTTTGTTTAGAAACAACCATGATTTTATTAAAACACTATATAAAATAGAGGGGAGCAACGTGCATTCAATATTTAAATAAAAGAGAGTAGCAACAGGTTTCGAACTCAAGTGATTAATGAAGAAACATTCACCCGATTTGCGCACACACCCTACAAACTCAACGTCTATTCTTATTAGGTTAGTCACGAGAACAACGCCTATTCTTATTAGGTTAGTCATGAGAACAACGCCTATTCTTATTAGGTTAGTCACGAGAATCGATCCCTTCTTTGTTTATATAAGCCAAACATCCTGACAATCCCTTCTTTATTTATCATAAGCCAAACACTACTGACAATCAGGGCCGGCCCAGACCCAGTACGGACGACCGTCCAGGGTCTAAAAAAATTAGGGGCACCAAAATTATTAGGGTGATATATTTATATATGTTTTTATAAGAGTATAAATTTATAAAATTTGGTTCAAAGACACAGAAATTTAACTAGAAGTGGTGGTTTGTCATTTGAAAATAATGAGGAGGTCTTGGTTCAAAACACCATGTGTGCTTATTTACTTTCCATTTTTTACAAATTTCTTTTTATAAGAGTATAAATTTATAAAATTTGGTTAAAGGATCAAGAAGTTTAATTAGAAACAATGATTTTTGTTGTTTAAAATTAACAAGAGGTCTTAAGTTCGAAATGCTATATGCATGTTTATTTTTTTCAATTTTTATTTACTTTCCATTTTTTACAAATATCTTTTTATAAGAGTATAAATTTATAAAATTTGGTTAAAGGATCAAGAAGTTTAATTAGAAACAATGATTTTTGTTGTTTAAAATTAACAAGAGGTCTTAAGTTCGAAATGCTATGTGCATGTTTATTTTTTTCAATTTTTACAACTTTTTGTTTGGTTGTTAATTTATTTTTAGTTACTATCTAGTAGCTATGTGGGTTGTTATTTTTAAATATTCGTTTTAATTCAAGTCTAATCTTCAACAAAGAATAATACGTAGACCAAATTTGCAAATTATGTGACGTGTCATTAAAATGTTTAATTTAGTGCCCATTCATTAATAATACATATCAATTAAAGACTTGAAAACATCATTATTTTTTAGTCCCATATTGACAAGGTTAGTAAATAAGAAAAAAACATCTCACGATTTATTCAAAAACACATTCAAAGTTCAGATGGAAAACAAAATTCATCATTTATCTACTTGTAAGCCCGAAGTTTTTTTGTTTCCCTCTCTCAATACAAAATAAATTAGTCTTTCTGTGTTTCTAAATTATTGAGTTTGAAGTGTTTTTCTACGTATAATTTTTTCGATGTCTTATGTGTGAAAATAAATAATTTTCTTACATGAAGTTAGGACACTTTTTTTGACCTCGTCCCGGGCCTCAAAAATCTCTGGACCGGCCCTGCTGACAATCCCTTCTATATTTATCATAAGCCAAACATCCTTCAATCTCCCAACCAATGTATAAATCAAGTCTACATGAAATATGCCAACCCCGAAAATGGCAATTTCCAGAATACAATACCACCAAGGTCGGTCCAGACCACTTACCTCAGTTTGTTTGCACTGTCATTGTAAATGGACAGAACTTCGAGACGGCCGAAATGTTTCGGTTCTTTAGACGACCAAAACATTTCGGCCGTCTCGAAGTTCTGTCCATTTACAATGACAGTGCAAACAAACTGAGGTAAGTGGTCTGGACCGACCTCGGTGGTATTGTATTCTGGAAATTGCCATTTTCGGCGTTGACGGTTTTTTTTTTCTCTATAGCTTTTATCCATCTTTATCAAGGGACTAAAATTAGATTTTGATCGTACTCATGATTTTAATCTAAAAGTCATCTATGTCAAGGATTAAAATGAAGTTTTCTAATTTTTTTATTAGATTTGTATATCTAACTTAGTTAAGAAGTAGTTTAAGATGCAGTCATTAGGGAATTTCTGTAACTGAATGTAGTTGTTTTCATGAGGTCGATAAATACAATGAGGTGCTTCTATATCAACAGGTACCTATTAACAACCCAATTAGTTGATTTGTCAACTCTAAACGGTACAAGATAAAGATTTCCATGTGGGCAGGAAGTCATCCTTGTCAAAAAAAAAGGGTCCAAACTACACTTTACACCCTATATATTTGAGTTGGTTTTCAAAAATGAGTCTCGAGTTTCAAATTTGTTCACATTACACACCTTGAGGTTTTAGAATTATATTGATTTACACATTTTGTTTATTTGAACATGTAACTCTCTGTTAAATTGATGAGTTTTTAATTAATGTGGTGTATAGTTTGCATTTTTTTTAAACAATTATTATTAATGGAAGAGAGTTTGAAACTATTATAACAATTTGGGAGAGAGTTTCAATCCTGGAACGGAATATGTTGACACTCAAGACCCTATCCAGTAGGAAAGGGGACTGCATGCAATGTAGCTTGCATATCAAACCTATTAGGAGTTCTATGCTCATCATGCCATCAATTTAATGAATATTCAAATACAAATGCATAAATTACAACAATTTCAAAACTTCATATT